GACAAAACAATTTTACATTTCCAATCAACAAATACGGTTCGTTTTAGGTACTCTACTGACTGCTTTTAATGGATTTTGCTAAGCATAAATTGGATTGTCGATATGATGATAACTTTATAATGTTATAGGAACATCAGAAACGTGATTTAAAACTAGCGGACCCGATAGACGTTGTCCTGTACACACATCTTAAATACAATATTTCAAACTAAAAAAAATTAACAATAAGCATCTAATTATAAATAATTAGAACTATTCTCGAATCCACTTAAACACTCATCACAATCGGTCCATCTATTTATTGGATTACGGCTTTGACGGGAAATATTCGATCGTCTTGGACGTGTTTTGGTGCATTGTTAATGATGATATCGCCACGATAAGCATTTAGAAGCTCGAAATATACACATCAACCAATCAATTTCAAAACTTCTAATTGTCAAATTTTCAATCATACTTAACCATTGATAACATTACGTTTTTCTGTTTGTTGCGTTTTGTTATACCCCGTTTTATGTAACGCCTTATGCTTTGATTCATGTTCATATCAAGATACCAAATAATAGCTGAGTGGTTTTTTTTTATTGATAAAAGCTTGCCAACGCTCGGCAAACTGATACATTGTTTAAACATAACAAAGAATACATCCAAATACAAAGTTAATATATTTTTTTTTTATTTCAAATACTAACACGACATCTGTGAGGTTTAAGTTTCTATATAGTTTTAGTGTTACTGTTTATTTCTGATGTGATATTTTCTTGTATCTTGTATCTCACACATGTTGTTTTACTCAATAAATAAATTAACAACCGGCATATCTTAAGCCCAAAATCAACCACGTGTCAGAAAGCCAATTAAACAGAGGCTTTATGACGACATGAGTGGGTTCTCGTACCACTGGATTATTATCATAAATAAAAAATGGAAAGGACACAATATAAAGTATTCACTTAACCTAATCTGTAGATAATTGTTTAAACTATATCAAAATGCTAAGTTATATAAGTCTCCTGAAGGCTCAGCTGCAGATGAACATGGTCAACTGTAGATGAAAAATAAAATAAATAAATCAGTGGCGCTACAACCTCTTTTAAAAGTCAAAAGTCAAAAATCATTTAATCATATAGGTAACACATCTAGGTCTGGGCCTCAGATTTCTGAATCTGTCTCATGATCATTTATCAATCTAATAGGCAAGTATGTGATCAGCCTCCTGTGCCTGACACATCGACTTTTTGGGTCTAAACATGACAGTGTCGTCACGATGTTTTCCTTTACCGTTCGAGCGAATGTTACATGCGCACATAGAAATAAATTCCATTGGTGCACAGCTGGGGATCGAACCTACGACCTCAGGGATGAGAGTCGCACGCTGAAGCCAGTAGCCCAACACTACTCAGGTCAACTGCAGATAATGAGTTCAATTCTCGACAAATTCTAGATAGAGAATGAACTTGTGCTCCTGTGCACTTGCGTACATGGCAGGTCTCCATATTGATCGTCGTGGTCGTGTTAGATACGCTGGACAGAAACCGTTGGAAACAGATTGTCCGCTCCAGGTGTTCTCTTGCTGACCACGACGCTCAGATATGAGCTACTGAAGCTGTCTAGATGTCTCTTGGACTTTGTATTTGGATGTTTTCTACTCAATTATATTTACAAATCAAGTTCTTCAAACCAGTACATGTAACAGCTGCTGACAAAGATTTATGTTATCACAGTATATTTAATTTAATTGAGAACGGTTTAATTGGCTATCAATTTTGTTATCTGAACTTTAACATCTGCTTGATAACTTGCTTAGACTTTTCTCAGAATTTGTTTAAATCAAAATACCGACGTGATTAGCTTGGTGATTAACGCATAAGAGACATTTATTTGTATTTCCCGGTAAAATAATATTTATTTCGGTTTGGTAGGTTTTTGTTCCCAATTACAATAATTATCTTATATGAAAACTAGCTGACCCGACAAACGTTGTTTTGCCATGGATATTATTTCTAAGAAACATCTTTTTGGTTTAATAACATAACTACATATCTGCTAAAATAAAAAAATAGGGGTAGATGAAAATTAAGGGTTGTATGTATTTTTGTATGCTGTATCATGAAAAAATAAAAACAAAAAATTTTGTCCAAAAAAAAAATTAAAAAATATTTTGGGATACCCCTTATCACTTAGGGTTTTGAAAGATAGATAGCTGATTTTCAGACTTACTGAATATGCATAAAACATTTCATAAGAATCGGTCTATGGCAACGAACATTGTGACACGAGAATTTTATATATTAGAGATAACGTTACCATGGTAACAGACATGTGATCCACGTTTTAAGAAAGCCCGATAATGTTTGACGTCATTCATATCTGTATAGTTTATATGCTTTGAAAACGTTCATTATTTCGCTCTTGAATCTTAAAGCCTTCAACAGTGTTTAATATATAATAGAGCCCAGCCAAACGCCGCTACTTTGTAACTTGTTATTGCCATACCGATGCCTACGTGTTTTATACTATTAAGTTCTCTCATTATTCGTAGAGCTGATGTTGCAAACTCACCATAATGGGAGATACGACGTACCTATCATCATGAAAATCAGCATATATACCCCATATCTTTCTTCTAACCTTTTTCATATTGCTCTTTCTTTCTTTATTTAAAGTTCTATATCATAAACTAAAAAGTTCTAAATGATAAGGAATCGTTATTAAAACTAATGTTAAAATGTTTGTTTGGTTTTCAGATATGTCGGTCCTTGATGTGGCAACTTAGAGGCAGGTTCAAAACGAAAAGTATCCACTATAATAAACCTGTTTAAGTTGTTTTATTTTCATACAATTTGGAGACCATTAAATGCTTAGTCTTATGTAATAAAATCATAAGGTTGTTCACCCCTAATTAAGATCAGTTTAGTTTCAAAAATAGAAGGCTTTTAAATTTAAATAACTCTGCAATTTAGTACTGCGAATCTTGTTAACTTTTATGTGTAGTAACGTGCCAGTTTAATATTTATATACACACGAACAAATCGGGATCTTCAAGCATTAACTAGGACTTCATTAACAAAAACAGGTCTAAATACTAAACCTTTATAGCTAGACATGCCATATAAAATAAAGTACATTAAAATATAAAAGTAATCAAGCATATTTAAAATGTTTTGAGCAAAATAAAAATTTGCTAAGAAAAATACGACGAAACTGAGAGAAGGAAAGTTAACAAAATATGAGTATCACCAACATTATACCTAAATTAGCTTCCTTTTTCATGTTTATTTTAGTTCGACAGTAAAAACGATCTTATAAATAACTCGTAAATAATAAAATACTGACTTGTTTATAAAAATTACTGAGCCGTCTAATTATAAGTTATAAATGAGATCTCCATAATCCAAACGGAGCTACAAGCATTATCATTCAATCTATGAAGCGCATTCATTGACTCCACGCATTTTAATCGGCATAACGATTCTAATCAATTACGTTTGTTTACGAGATAGCGGTATATGTTTTTCGCTTTTAGTTGAAGAGTTGTATCAAGGCCGCCTACCTAGCTAAGCGTGGGCCTAGGACCAACAGACAATATTTGCCATATGCCCATGCGAGGCAGGCGTATGTTACATTGTATTATCGTGCAAATAAGTTTGTGATCGTGCTTTGAAAATAGGTAGTGTTATTTATAATTTTTATTTTGTTAAAGTGCGCCTTGCTTAAATAATACTAGTGGAATTTTGTGAGAGGTTTAATATAAAATCGGGAGAAACCGTAAGCAGTGTATGAAAGTGACAATTTAAAGTAATGTTCTTCGTAACAATATTTTTTTAATAATAATAAAATCAGTTATATTAACAAGAAAGAATAACCCGAAAATGTCTCTAAAATAAATTTCTAAAACAACTGTTCAATTGGCTTAGGGATTGTGCAACAATGTACAACATAATAATAATACATATTTTATTTGCAAAGAACGTAATACACCTTCAACCAATTGAATGGTAGAGATGAGCTTAGAAGAGATAGATAATTATTAAAAAAAATAACAACGGTGAAAAGTCAAGTAAAATTTTTAAAACTATAAGCAAAACTAATAATAGAGTACATTTAAAATTTGAAATAAACGAATTGTGTATTGAATTTAAAAACATAAAAGGAATTCAAATATTCTAACAAAGACTATAAAATTCAACCTTGAAGCCGTAAAATCAAGCAGTAATAAATCATTGAACGGTTAATTCATTATCTAAAACACGTACATTTGTTTTATCTTGTTTCATAAACAACTCTTTTATATGACCTTACAATATATGATATGAAATACTAACAGACTTCGCATGTTCCATTTATAGACATGTGGATGACGTTTCAAAATTATTTAAAATTTGCTTATAAACATTTAATATCGCTTATTAAGGGTCTGTTTCACAATGTATGGATAAAGTACCAAATAGCTATGCAACACATAAATTATGTGGAAGATAAATTGTGCTATTTGTTATTCATCGGACTCATAACTTATGATGGACTTTATGTGACGAATAGCGCTATCTGACACTTGTGAAACGCAACAATAGTGTTTATCCTACCAATAAGTAATAAATAGCTAATTTGGAACTTGTGTAGAACTTATCCGTACATTGTGAAACATACCCTAAATCTCGCAAAGTACTTTTACTATGACTAAAGTATCAATCGTATTCGAAACGAGATGTAAATTGTTCTATATTTAAAAAAATCTTGTAATCAGAAAAAATATCGATTAGTTCTAGAACTTTGATTTACTTTCTGGATTACGAAACTCGGCTCCGTTTTATCGTTATCAAGATTCTATATTAAGCATTAGATATTTTTTTTATAAATAGATATTATATATCCATAATAAAATGGTAATAATATGGTGGTGGTGATAATATTAATTATCTATGATAAAATGGTACTTCAACTCAACCAATTTTCACTAGATATTTCAGAGTGAAAAGTGATACGCGAAAGTGATAAAAATGGATGAGGAAAATGGAGTGAATCAAACGCAGGCGCATAATCTTTTGGGACAAAAGACACAAACACCACAGAAAAGAAAAGACAATGCACTCACGAAAACCTTACGTTCATGTAAGTATTGCAGAAAAAGAAGTATAGCGTAAAAACGTAAATTATCCTTGGTACAGTATTCCGATTTGAAGGAATAGAACATTCGAGAATTAAAGATTTTCTTACTGAACCGGTATTAAATATAATTGCACCTAAAATTTTACAGCTTTCGTACATTATATGTTCAATTATCAGGGCTGCAACAAAAGTTGATTGAGTTGAATTGAACAATGCTCAAATCTGTATTAATCCTAGCGAAAATCTTTGTTGTGTTGTTACATATTTACGGGTTTTATTAAGTAGGTGATCAGATTTTCAGAAAATCTTAATGTAGATTCATCGTGCATACGTCCTAATTCAATTTTTTTTTATATGTATGGTTTTGTGTAAGGTAACAATGTGTAAATAAATAATTCATTGGTCGCACGTCCGAAGTTCAAACGCAAAACCACCTATGCAGTATAGGTGAACCCTTTGGTTAAGTTAAGCATTCTGTCGCTACATAGGGATCCTTCTTCCATATAAACGTTGCCGGTAGAAAACTCAAATAAAAAAATCTACTTTATATTGTTTGTTAACGAAAAGTATCATTCTCGTATTATGTTGTAATGACATTTTTCATTAAAAAAGATTAAGGGGGACTGGATAAAATAGTGTCATTATTTGTGTTAAATATAATAAATGCATTTAAAAATGTATTATTTATTAATTTATTACATATACCCAAAAATGTGCATTCAAATGTTGTAAAATATTTATGTAATCAACCTTTTTGCATGACCATGCTAATCAGCACTAAATTTTGTATTCAATTGTATCAAAAATTTACAATCAAACAATTGCGTCAATGAAGTTATAAAATTATTATCAATTTGACTATAAATTTTTTTATCAGCCATAAGGAGGCTAGCAGTAATTCGATATGGCTTAGTCAGTAGCTGTGCTGTGCGGCTTTACCTGGGTTAATTCTACCTTCCTCATTTCATTTCGAAACATTTGTTTCTGAGATTAGCACGTCCAATCAACTAAGCAAACTATTCACTATCACGTAAACAATAAAAAAAAATATGTATGTACGATCTCTCTTTAAAGTACAGTATTTTAACATATTTTTGTTATCAAGGAAAAAAGATGATAATTAATATGTTGTGGAACACCAAAAAATATATATGTTAATTATATATATTTTTTTAATACCACTTTGACGCCTGGCGTTCCACAACACAGCTCTTTCTCTTGCGAACCACCTCTTTTTTTCCGAACCGATACGACTTAGGGGCCTGCAAGAAGCGTACCATTCCCTGAAAAATCGACAACACTCCCGTTAAACCCCAGCTTTGTAGGTGTCCATGGGCGGTGGTTATAACTTTATTCAAAGTGATAACCTGGATAACCATAAAAATATCTTAGAATACTCGTATAAGAGCCAGATTACGGAGCCGCGCAAGCGCAAAAGTACTGGGTGGCGCAAAAGTACTGGGTGGCGCAAAAGTACTGGCACTAAAGAAAATTGGTTTACTTTTTTTATATGACGATAGTATTTAATTTAGGGATTACAATATCAACGTCTTACTAGCAGTTAAACTCTGGCACTAACAATTAAAACTTATACATATATAATAACATTCTCATTCAAAAAAGAAATGTCGTTCCAATAGCGGCATTTCTTTTTTTTTATGATTGGACAATTCACACCAATTGACCTAGACCCATGCTAAGCTGGTGAAGCTTATTATGGGTACTAGGCAACGGATATACATACATATTATAAATAGATAGACATATAAATACATGTTTAAACACCCAAGACCTAAGCACAACACCAAATGCTCATCACATCGATGTTTGTCTCAGCCGGGGATCGAACCCGGGACCCATGGATTCGCAGTCAGGGGTACAAACCACTAGACCAATGAGCCGACAAAGCCGAATTAAAATATATACGTAAGAAAAATAATTTGGCCGGCTCTAAAAAGAAATATTCGAAAATAACACCAACTAAAAGTGTTAAGCCTTTCCACAGACTTTCCATTTATATAAAAGAATTATTGTTTTAGGCTGCTACATACCACAACGTTACATTTTGGGTGTTATGGGCTTGTTGGGTGTCTGCAATGCTTACACTATGCGTGTATGCTTGAACTTAGCTATTACCCAAATGGTGAATCGCACAAAATCCAGTACAGACCATTTCGATCCCGACGCCTGCCCCAACGACAAAATCATTGGAAATGCCACTGCTATTCTTAAACCAGTAAGTATATGAAGTACGTCATAAAATATTTGGCCATCTTTAATAGCAAATCATGATACTTGATTAGAATCTCTTTTGTTTTTTATTTAAAAGCACCTTTTGTCTATCATTTTTCCCTGTGATTTTAGTCCACGAATTTGTTTACAATATTTTTATGATTAAGATTTTTAGATATACTTCACTTGTTTTTTTTTGCTGCCTGAAAGAGGTCGCGCGTTACTTATATTATTTTCTTTGTTTATTCACATAATAGTGGTTGTCTGGAAGAGATCGATCGACCAGTTGTCCTCCTTTTTATTTAATTATGTCAATTGCGTTATATTCGTATGCAACGAAGTGTTAATAAATAAAATAAATAAATACATAATACTACAACACTGATTTTGTAACTTCGCTAAGTCTAACGTCGCAGCTTTATACCCCGCTTATATATTTTTTTAAATAATCTTAGTTGTGTGTGTGCAAATAAAATCGAATAACAAAAAAACAAAAAACAATGTTTAAAACTAAAATACTACAATGTTTTAATGCAATTAAAGGTTTCTGAATATTGACTTGATTATTGTTAACTTAAGTAATTGTATGAACAGCTGAGATATTGCAAATAAAGGCTGCTTTTATAACTATACTTTACTACTAGACTATTATTTGTCACCTTAGAGAAATTCGAAATAATAGTAAACTATTTACCTTAGCACCAAAGGGTGGATCCTGAATTCGCGTCAGGTCACACAGTCTAAGTAATTTATTTATTAATTATAATAACACAAGTTTGTGTACAATGTACTAATAGTATAGATGATTCCGATCATTATGTATATATCTGTTAATGTCCTAATAAAAGCTATTTTGTAATACTATTAATAATACATTGTGAAAAATATCAACTTGCCGCTAGGTAAAGTATTAAATGCTAGGTAAATAATTTATTTATTATTTCACACGAACATTTATATAAACATACTAGAGCTACTTTATTCTCTTTTATTATAAAAAAACAAGATTTATATTTTTTCACATGGTATGGCCGTGGCCGACTTGCTATTCGATACAATGCCAGGCCGCTATTCATTATATATCTTTTCTTTGTGGTGTGCATAGAACGCTGTATACAAAGGATAATATCAACAGCAGCAGTGTTGGCCTAGTGGCTTCAGCGTGCGACTTTCATACCTGGGGTCGTAGGTTTGATCCTCGGCTGTGCACCAACACCAATGGACTTTCTTTCTATGTGCGCATTTAACATTTGCTCGAACGGTGAAGGAAAACATCGCGAGGAAACCGACATGTCATAGACCCAAAAAGTCGACGGCGTGTGTCAGGCACTGGAGGCTGATCACCTACTTGCCTATTAGATTTAAATATGACCATAAAAGGATTCAGAAATCTGAGGCCAAGACCTAAAGAGGTTGTAGCGCCACTGATTTATTATTTTATTTATTTATTTAACATTTTTAAATAAAGAACTATCTGAGAAGGATGGGAAGTTGTCAATGTGAAATGTATGAAATTACATTTTATGCATTCTTTAACACAATTTCCATATTGATTCTTATAATCTCTTCAATATTAGTAGTTACTGAGCGTAGCATTGCCGTACAAGTGTATGTACTGCAATGATAACTTCATAAATCATTCTGTCGTACATTTGTTTCTGTGAATTGTTAGTTTATTTACCAAGCATACACTAATTTCAACATATAATAAAATTACACATTTCAGTACGCAATCTTCGACTGGGACGAAAAGACACAGGGATTAATATTAAGTGGTTTTTACTATGGATACGCGGCCACTCAAGTACCGGGCGGATATTTGGCTGAAAAGTTCGGAGGGAAATGGACTTTGGGTGTAGGCCTTCTAAGTACCGCACTGTTTACTTTCTTGACCCCAATTGTCATTCGGGCAGGGGGTGCCACGTGGTTGTTCATACTGAGAGTTCTGCAGGGAATGGGAGAGGTGAGTCTTATTTGGTACTAATATTGACTGACTTCGCGAGTCGAATAGCTTGGTTCATGGGCGTATATAATTATATGCCATTCATAATACGTATCTGCCACTCATTGGAATTTGGTATAGTGGGTGACGGAGTAAGCTCCATATTCAAAGGGCAATCATTTTATTCCGAAAACATATTAATCTAATTCTTAGAGAACTCTGAATTTTAATTTATTAAATGGAATGGAAACCTATGAAATTCGATGTGGCTTTTGATTGTTTTCATGATTTATTGATCTTTTACTTCTTTTGATTTCTACTTATTTACATAAATTTAAGATGATTATACTAACGGCTTCGCACGAACAATCATGACCTGTATACTGCAAACTGTAATCAATTCCGTGGAAAAATGTAGTTTTAAGGTTATTGTAAAAATACAGACAGATAGACGCGATACTGCAAACTGTAATAATAAAAAAACTAAAATAAAAAAACTGCAAAATATAAAAGTTAAACATATTATGCTGGCTTTGTATTTTTGTTGGCATTATAAAGCTCTACAACTTATCTCTAATCGTTGACGCCGAGTTTTATAAGAAACGTTGTTTTCTCCGACTTTACAATTCGGACTACCATCAAAGTTATTTAATTTTTCGTGTATATATAGCGTATATAAAAACACCGAAACTTCATTAGGGAATATGGTTTAAAAACCCTCCAGCTCTAGAATCCAGTGCTAAAAAACTTAAAATAAGACTAACAGACATTTTAAGCCAATTCTATAACGAGACAACACATTGGAAATACCAACTTTGCGGCAATAAATGGCAATACTATGGTAACATTTCAATAGACTATCATAATATTAAATAGTTAAGGTAACAGTCCAGAAAGAGAAAAATTAGAACACTCATATCACTGATTTTTGTGGAGCCATGTAATAGTCAACTCATGAAAAAATGTATTACAACATTTAAAATAAGGTTATTAGTATAGGTATATTATGGTAGATAAAAACTTAAATATTTATTTTCAGGGTCCAACAATGCCAGCCCTTATGATAATGCTGGCACGTTGGGTACCACCCCATGAGAGAGGTTTTCAAGGCGCCCTGGTGTTTGGAGGCGCCCAGATTGGGAACATATTCGGCTCATTCATGTCTGGAATACTTTTAGCCGATGGCAATGATTGGGCGTACGTATTCTATTTCTTCGGAGGCTTTGGTATACTTTGGTTCGTTTTGTGGGTAAGTTATACGTTTAAATCTATTAATAACTGTGTACTACCCGCAGAAGTGTTAATGTTACGGAATGTTTGTTATGGAACGGAAAAAATCATAGTAACACATCAAAATACGGTGTTTTGTCATGCTAATTTATTCTGTTTATAAATTGTCTATGTACTGTGTTTATTTATATCAAACACATTCAGCTTAATTGGCATATATACTGAGAATCTTCTACTAAATGATTGTAAGGTACGGCAAAAAAATACAATTTGTCGTCTGAACTAAATATTGATTTGTAAATGAGTTCGAATAAAAATAAATTAAATTTCAAAGAATTATTAAGAATTTGATTCCCGATTTCTTACGTCCTTTTTTCTCATTAAACATTAGAAGCTTTGATTAATGTTGAATATTGTCTTGTATATTTATTCCCAAAATGTTCATAAGTAACAGAATTTCCTTGATAAATATAGGCGTTAAGTTGAATATTTACATTTATTTTTCCAGAGCCTTTTATGCTATTCAACGCCGAACTCGCATCCCTACATCTCGAAGAAGGAATTAAATTACTTAAATAAGAATGTAACTACTGCTGAGACGAGCCATGCAAAGGACCCGGTACCCTGGAAGGCAATATTGCGATCAGTACCCGCCTGGGCGCTTGTTTGGGCTGCGGTAAGTAGAAGAATTAGGTTAAAATATTTGGATGTTGGTTTTATATCTGATTTAACGGGATGTAAATGTGCTCTATCTGGTACCATGGTTTATAAATAAAGTTTAGTTTTATTAAACATAAAATAGCCTTTATTCGAGTACTACACTACACTAAACTACATCAAGTCCATGTCATTTAAGTTTTACACTAGTACTCGACCTCTGACGGAGTGAAGGCCTCCTCCAAATTCTTCCACTTCTCTCTATTCTTCGCAATTTTACAATTCTGCCCCACTATCCCTTTTATTCCATCTTCCCAAGTTTCTGGCTTATCAGGCCCATCACAAATTCGGACCGTGACCGGCCCATTTCCACTTTAACTCTTTTGTATGGGTTACGACGTCTTTTAATGTTTGCGCGGCTACGTATCACACCGTTTTTAACTTTGACTTTAAGTTTTAATTAAAACGTATTATTTACTGGACGTGTTATAAATATTATATCTGTCATACAGATATGTATTTATTGACTACATGCGTTTCTCTGCTAAGTCAGCTTTTAATTTAATATAATACAGCAGAAGATTGCAATAACTGCGCCGGAAGCTGTTTTATTGGTTTCGTTTTATGATAATACTTACGATTTATATTAGCAGTTTCGAAGTCGAATGAAGGCATTCGAGAGGGAATTTATTTGAATCATATAATGTAAGTTCTTATATTAAATTGCTGATAATACGCATAGATAGTAAGTTAGTTATACATATACTTATAAGATATATAAGAAAGCTTAGTAACTTTGTAAGATATAAACGTAGTTATATTCTTATACGTAGTTATATTAATGGGCAAAATATTTTTTTTAAAAAGGTTATTTAATTCTGTACTAAATTAAAGGAAACGTCACAAATGTTAGGCAAATACTAGGCCTTATCCACACGTATATATAAAAAAGTATTAAATTAAGTCACATAGAAACAGATAAAATTTAACCTCTATAAATGTTTATGACTTTAATCTATTAAAAGTTCGACAAACTTGAGACAAAAATATTCAAATTTTTTAATGCTTGCGTAATCTTTTTGTCTTTGGTGACCATGAACCAACCTTGGCTATATTGACAGTGTAAGCGAAGTACTACATGTACTTGTATGTACGTCATTCTGTAATAAATAGTGTATTTAAATGTACATTAACACAAAATTAATTGCAATTGATCTAAAATATTTATATGGGACTCTCTTCTGAAGAATATATTTTATTACTACTTGTTTAGTACTACACCCTTAAAGCTTTCCTAAAATAATTTAAATCGCGTAATGTTATTCAATAATTCTATTTCAATAACTCTCTACGTCTCAATTCTTATTTTATTTTTTGAATTATACATTGAATAAAATTATCAAATTCGTCTCAGTTACGATTGTACTTATCGCATTATGTAGTCCTGGATTAATTTCCACCAGAGCAGGAAGGCTAAAGGGAAAAACTAATCTGACCCGAGTCCCAATAGTATTACGGAATCTCACGCAAAAACATTACGCGATTCTGACTTTTATGGCACATGTGGTTAAAATGTAATCACGATCTTGAATTTTATAGTAATTTTAAAGCCACAAACAATACGCACATACAGCTTTATACTACTAGGTTAATGACTCAAGAAATCCGGTTGTAACTTGAGTGGGCGCCACGCAATCGTATAATTATCTATATTGCAAAATATACCCAAACGTTGTTCACGTGGCACTAATGCCTTATCATAAAATAAAACTCGTCTCAGATTATAGTAAATAAGCACTGACGTGAATAAAATAACAATAATTAAATATTCACTTATCGTGAATTTTTTTCGTCTCTGATGAAAATGTTTTTGTTTATTAGTATTCATAACAATGAAATATACAGTATTTAAAAATTTTCTTAATGTACAAGTATTATAAAAATAATTAAAAAGAAAATTGAAACAAATTCAAAATGTTTGGTCTCTGTGGCACGCTCGCAGCATTTCCATGCTGTATTGCGATACTTATTCGTGGAGCGAGGAATTATCGCGAACTAGATTTTAGTAGTGAAAATGTTAATATTCTAGATTTTACTACACTAAACGGTAGGCTTAACTTAACTAAATATTTAATGAAACAATTAAATCGTTCGAATCGCGCCTTATACTTTGAGCTATGACTTAATGATCGAATACAATTTTGTTAATTTCTCGTTTATGATAAATTATTTTTGTTAATTAAATAAGTCAATATAACTAATAAACTAAAAATATTTGCAAAGCATTCTGTTTCAACTTGACAAATATAATGTTTTTTTTTATCTAGAGATTAAATTAATACTTTATCTGAAAACCTCATGAGGCCAGTTAAAAATTTACAAGAAAACATAATATTAAGACAATCGTAAGGAACAGCAACAGTCAACTGTTTTTATTTTTTTACACTCAGACAAAAAAAACATTACCCAAGCCTTTTTTATAATTTATTTGACAGGTCGGGCACGACTGGGGCTATTACACAATGGTAACAGACCTACCGAAGTACTCTCACGACGTTCTCAAATTCAATATTGCAACCACTGGAGTCCTAACCGCATTGCCATATATTGCGATGTGGCTAAGTTCCTTTGTATTTGGTTTCGTTTGCGACATATGTATCAAGAAAGGCTGGCATACGATCAAGACTGGGAGAATCATTCACACAACTATTGGTAACTAAAACTTCATTCCAGAATATTTGGTATAATATTTTAAGTATATAAACGAACGTATTTTGTGAAGCAAATTTTTTTATACAATATTCAATGGAAGAGAAGGTCGGCTTTACATTATAAGTACCGTAGCGTACCGTATTGTATACAACTAATTCTTTAAAAAAATATTTAAAGCTTACAATTTACTCATTGAACTAGTATATATATGTTCAACCACCGATCATGAGGTCTCTGATTGAAATCCTGGATAGGGATGAATTGAATTATAGAGTTAGAGACAGTGCGCGTTTGTTATATTTATAGTACGCATACAGTTCATTATAAAGTGCTGAACAAACTAAGATATTATTATTTTCTGCGTTAAGGAGACGTCACTGTAGTGTATCATACCTAACCATTATGGAACATGTAGTAGGGTAGACACCTTAAATGGTGAGTTTCAATAAAGATTAGCTGCCGTCTTGGATAGCTTTATTATACTAAAAAAACATCTACATAAATGGGCTGATGTCTTGATAAGGTTCCTCATCATTGATTTAATTTTCTTTCAGCTGCTACCGGTCCTGCAATTTGTATAATAATGGCATCTTACGCTGGCTGTGATAGAGTTGCTGCTATGGTATATTTTGTATTGTCTATGGCTCTGATGGGAGGTTTCTACAGCGGTATGAAGGTACTAGAATTTATACATTTAGCTGTAGTTTTTGATACAACTGAATCGATAGAGTCGTGCCTAATATAATAGTTTTTTTAGATATTGTGAAGGAAGTCTTATATAAACATCGACATACATTATTGACCTGTTGAATAAACGATGATAAAATAACATTTAAATGTAAATAATTTATAGTATATTTTAGTTTCTTAAATATTTTTAAAATATTACTTACGTAATTATACGATGTGTTAGATAGATATATCTTACTTTAGAACATAATTTTGTTTCCCAGGACAACCTTTTAATTTATCAATGAAACTGAAAGAAGCTTCCATCTATTGTCATAATATGTGATGAGCGGTAGACTAAAGAAAATATAATGTTTCAGGTAAACGCATTGGATTTGGCACCAAATTATGCTGGTTCACTGACATCTCTTGTCAATACGACATCGACATTCGCTGGAATCATAACACCCTACCTCATAGGATTGTTGACGCCTGACGTAAGTTTCTTAGCAAAGTTTTAATTACATAGTATCAAAAATATAATATAATTTAAGACAAGTAAATAGATGATTTATTAAAAAGCTGTTTAGGTAAATGATAGGCTTATGTTTTCGAATTCCCATAAAAAAAAATAAAAAGCTTGTAGGAATTTGGGGTTCATCTTGCATATCACCAGAACATTTTCTAATATAATGGCGATGATGATACTATGTAATGCACATGTAAGCAGCTACTTGGAAAGTAGCACACACAAGTAGAGATACTCAACAATGGTGGAGCAAATACAAAATAAGTCTACTCACTATATCTACGCTGTATATTACCCGTTTTACCCGCTAGTATCGGACATTGTTTGTTTTGGATTTGGTTGAATACACTCAGCTAAGGGAAAGAAGGGATCTAGCTATTACTCGGTACCTATTTGACTCGGTACCTTACGGTAGATAGTGTAGTTGTTTTAGTTGGGGCTGCTTTTTATACCGACTGTCCACCATTTTTTTGTCCTACTAAAACTTCAGCATTTGCCTGAACCCGAAAAAACGACAATACATTATGAAGAACTGAACACCAGAAATGCATATTTATTGCTCTCAAATAGCACGGTAAAAAATTTAATATTAAAAGGTATCTATTGCTTTTTTTTACAAATACCTTTTCATTCACACTGAAGTATATTAAAATCCTATTGAAAATCTCGTAGCAATAGTAAATTAAAATTTCAAACAAAGAGAGAACTTGTCAAAGCAACAATATCGGATGATATTGAGCTTCGAAGCTTTGTAAAGTGAACAGTAATCGAATGTGACTGAACTGTCCGGATAGATTTTCCAATTTACTGCGGATATAATCGGATTATGTGCTTCTGACGTTGACGATTTCACAGTAACCATGTTACCTCTATGTAAACATCAACGTTATTATATCGTTATCATTTGTTCGTTAGCATTTAATTCTCATTCAAAGCTTCATTAATTTTCACATGGTCTCTAGATTTTTTACATTGACTTTCCACGTTTTATCATTTAGAATTTAAACTAAAGCCATTTAAACTAAAAGTTAGTAAAACTTTCAGTAAAAATCGTTTCAACGAAAATTAATTAGAAAAGGAAATTGGTGACAATAAGGTTGATAAGGTGTGGTATGAACACAAAATTTTAATATTTTTATTTAAAAAATTGACAAATAAATTATTCTATGACCACTATAGGGTTTTTTCATAGTACATATATTGAATTATCATGTATTGTAATATTTATAGTTGTGTTCCCGTGGTAGACTCTCTCATACCTTTTTATATAAAAAAGCTTTAGAAAAATAAATGTAAGATTAATTCGTAATTATTTTAATGACAACAATGTTATTTTCAGTCAACACTCGTGCAATGGCGGACAGCATTCTGGGTATGTTTCACAGTGTTAGTTGGTACGAACGTAGTTTACTGTATATGGGCGGATGGAGAGCAACAATGGTGGGATGACGTCAGAAAGTTCGGCTACCCAGCAGACTGGAAGCACGGGTCAATTTTACGGGATGACACCATTGAACAACCAGAAGCAGTTAAGCTATCGAGTAGAAAGGACACTGATGATGATTAGGAAAAGTTTTTAGGTCCTGCGTACAAAAATAGAATTCTTGTGTGAGAAATTGTTTGATATTAGCAGCCCAGTGTGTAAAAAACGTTTGAACATCAGTTATATTTTAAATAATTATTATTTACGCCATTTTTATTTGCCATATTATAGTTCGTAATTAAAACCATAGACTTACTGTTTAACTAAACTTGTTTTAACTAAAGTACCTCTGACAGTGTGTTAACGTTGAAGAAGATCAGTGCCTTAATTAATAAAAATATTTAGTTTAATGAATAATATAGTTTCAAAATGTTTTATTACTTACGAAATACTTATATGCTTCTCAATTTAAAATGACACTACAACTTCTTGATCTAAACTAGACAGGTTATTTTGTGTTAAATAAATTACTCATCTTTCATCTTTTTATCTTATGATGTTCATACTATGTGGAAAAGAGAGAGATTAGTTCTTTCTTACTGCTATATGAATAGTTACATAATATACTCTTACTTATTAAATTAAAGCAGTCATTAACATTATTTTAACTGATGTGTCTCCACATATTTTTTATAACCTATAATTGAATTTCTCTTTTAGAAATAATATTTGCGTATACTGGGCTTTTAAACTTAGTTATATGAATATTATATTTAGACAATTTAGATTAAATATCATCAATTGTGTTACCCATTGTCGTTGTTATGATGTAGATAAGGTTTAATAAATAAATTGTTAATTATTAAAAAACAATTCAATAAAGTTTATATTACACAGTCTCATGTTACACATCTATAATAGTTGTAAAAAATATTGTATTAAAGACCTATCAGTCCACCTAGTCAGTTTCTGAATTTTGTAAAACATCGTTTTGTTTGTATACGTATATGCAATGTATATACACTGTATTATTGTCTGCATGTGTTTAATACTCATTAAATTATAAATTTTTATTTATTATTTTATTTCATCCCAATATATGGGATATATCCCAATAACTATTCTAAAATTTAAATACCGAGAGATTCCTTCTCAGATCATTTTAATAGGTTAAAAGAAAAGATTAGATTTTATAACTATGTTTTTAGTTGTATTTTTTGTACCTCCGTGAACCAGATTATATTGATACCTGACATCGGTTTAATCAAGAGAGTTTAATCTAAAGTAGACAGTAAGTAATCTACGTAGTAAAAAAAACAGTAGCGCTATAAACCTTGGGGTCTTGGCTTAAAATTTCTGTATCTGTTGCGTAATCATTTGTCTTTTCTAATGGGCAAGAGATATCAGTTTTCTGTATTTGACATACGCTGTTAACTTTTCGAATCTAAAGGTGCGCTTACACGAGGGCAATAATTGCTAAAGTGTAAGCGCACCTTTAGGCTAGTTTCTTTACGATGTTTTCCTTCATCGTACGAGCGAGTTTTCATTTAATGCACAGCCTGGGTTCGAACCTATAACCTCAGGAATGAGAGTCGTACGCTAAAGCCACACGGCCAACACTTCTTATAATAATGAAGTATTATAAATTTATTTCCTTGTTAATCTTCAGCAGTGAAACAGTGAGTGAAACACCCTTACCACAAATCATAATATTACTAAAGTGATCTGAAAATCCTAAATCCAAGTTCAGCGCTCAGCCACTTGCCCAACTTGCACCAACCGTGCGCTCTTCTTTGGCATAGCGAATGCGTTTTACATGGTCCGGCACAACGGCTTGGTTTATAAGCTCTACCATCTTCAAGTGCAAATACGACTCGTGCGCATCATTCACGACTTCTTGTCCGAAAGCTCGATGTGCTATCGTGTAGAGGGTACGTTATCGTTTCCTCGACTCGCGCCTTACCTGTTCGCGCTGTTCACCCTCTATGCTGATGACACCGCTCTCTATACAACCCATACAGATAGAGGTGTCATAGCCGTCGTTCGCAAGAAGACCTCTCTTCTATTTCCTCATGAATACAAGGAGTCAGATGCCCTTAGACACGTGACGGAATTATAGCTGCTTCGGATGATATTAAGAGAGTTCATACCTACACTTGATTCCACTGATGAATGTAGACTGATTTTGAGCCTCCGCCTGAAGAGTTAGGGTAACCACCTGGTTCACTCCCGAATCCACATCAAAAATCGACTATTTTACACGTAAACTGAGGCATATATATTATATACATTATATACGAAATACCAACGGATTTTGTACAACCTACTGCAATTGATCTTATCGAGCGAGATTATCTCCTATTTAAGGGTTATTACCTCAAATGGCTGATGTGACTAACTTATATGCGGTCCAGCCAGGATTAACCAGATTACAGAACCTGTAAAGAAATGGAAGTCTAGCCTTTTTTCGTACGGAAAAAATGGCCAGGTGTACGTTTTTAACAAAGCTCTACTCCTGAATTAGATTGTGTCTGTGTCACTCAAAAAAAGTGTTTCGGTGTATCTGTAGTACATAGTAATCGGTAATAAAAGTAGTTTTTTGAACCAAAATTTTATAATCTATGATTTTAGAGTAGTTTTTAGTACTTCATCTTCAAAGTTAAGCTGGTTTTATATGTTTTAACATGCAAATGTATGTATTTCATTTTTTGCGCAGAATGTTTTCTTATATCCTATACCTGGTAGAAGCTACTCTGTCATGTTATGACTTGAACGTACGTATGAATTTACTAACGATTATATTTTATTATTTACCTCTATATAGTTAAGATATATAGACGTAAATAATGAAAGATAAGTTTAATTTATTATTTACTATTAATATTAAAGTGAAAATTTGAATAGAAATTAGTTTTTGTCTATGAATAAAATGTCAGAACAAAATAATGGGTAAAGACGTACGGGGAAGGCACTACGCAGATGCATAGTCGACGCACACGTTACTATAGTTACGTCTAGCTCCTGTTTTTTCCCATTAAAGAATTTGTTGGTATAAATCTAAGTATAGCCCCATCTAGTATTAAGTAGCGTGTGATAAAAATAAAGCTAAACAATACAAACGCTGATTTGTTTTATTGCTATCTACCAAGTACCGACAACTATTCAAGATTTTCCGATTTGGATGCGAAACAGAAACAAACAAAATCTTATTTATTAAATTCTTTATGTTGTAAAGATGTGAAATAAGAGTTAAAAATCCTTCGCAATTATTGATTGAATCTTGAATTTTACCTTATATTAAATGACATTATGGGTTTTTTTTTAATAGAACGGGGGGCAAACGGGCAGGAGTCTCACCTGATGTTAAGTGATACCGCCGCCCATGGACACTCTCAATGCCAGAGGGCTCGCGAGTGCGTTGCCGGCATTTTAAGAATTGGTACGCTCTTTTCTTGAAGGACCCTAAGTCGAATTCGTTCGGGAATACTTCAGTGGGCAGCTGATTCCACAAAGTGGTGGTGCGCGGCAAAAACTGCCTTGAAAAACGCTCAGTTGTGGAACGGCGGACGTCGAGGTGATACGGGTGGAATTTCGTATTCTGCCTCGACGTCCGATGATGAAACTCAGCTGCAGGTATTAATCCGAACAACTCCTCTGAACACTCTCCATGGTAAATGCAGTAGAAGATTCAGAGAGATCCCACATCTCTACGCAACGCCAAAGGATCAAGCCGCTCGGAGAGGGCTTGGTTGTCGACGATTCGAACCGCTCTTCGTTGAATACGGTTAAGTACTTATTAGTGATGTCGTTTATCTATAGCCAGAATTTTCTGGAGTTATATTTATACGAGTATGTAGATTGCTGATCTATTACTTTAATTTTCTCTGCTATTAGGTATTGCCTAATAGTGAAATAATACACATTATAATATCTGCGCTTATACAAATATTGATACTACATTAATATTACACAATACGCCACATAACTACCTCATTTATATATCTATAAGATCTTAAATTTGTAAATACTGAAGTGATAATAATTTTATATAAATAGTAAATGTCGTGAAATTTTTATAAATTGCTATCGTCACAGGATGAGCACGTACTTTTAGTTGTTTAACTTAATAATAGATAAGGATGAGTGAACATAAGGAAAATAGCGAAAATACTCAAAAACAAGATGATTCGTTATGCGTTCAAGATGTTCGTTATCCAAAGAAAGATAGTGCCCTAATAAAAGCCCTACGAAAACGTAAGTAATTTAAATCAACTGTAAATATTTCAATTTTAATCATGAATATGTTGTATGTACAATAATTTAACCATCCGACTCCCAGAACCAACATTGGGTTCCGTGAGCATCTTCACAGGATGTGTTTGTTCTACCTTGGATTCTGCTACTAACATTGACCCTTTTTCGCACTTCTCTACTGCTTCATTTAAGAATAAGTTAAAACTCTTAATGTCTTATGCCTTGTATCTTCCTTGTTTTTTATATAGCTGCTAGTTTGTCGTTCTCCTAATTTATAAATTTTGTGCTGTCATGTTTTGTCTTGTTTTACTTTGTATTGTATTTTTTATCAGTGAAACTTTTTGTGGATATGTCCAAAGTTTTACTGTTGGCAATTTTATGTTTTAATTTTATTAAATTTTTACCGTATATCTGTTTAGTTTCCTTAATTAATAAATTATATTAATTTCTCTATCCAAACCTTGACCGTTCTGTTAGTGGTTGATTATCTAATGCAGTAACGTCATCGGTTAATGTATCATCCAATAATTATTGCATTTGCGATAAGGATGGTGGTATGATAAATTAGGCACCGTGAATTAACTGAACCACAGGTGAGGGTATAACTATTGTAGTTGTACAGATATATTAAATTGATTATTGATGCAGTGTAGGCTTAAACATACCGAGAAAGTATAGCTAGTTAGTGTAAATGTTTTATGATTTGTTTCTTTGGTTAACTGTTGAGTGAGCGTGAGCTACGGGCCCAAGATTACTCTACAGCAGATAACATTTTTTTTTTTCAGATTGCTGCATACCACAACAATGGGTTTTTGGTGTAATAAGTTTAATTGGTTTGTGCAATGCCTATACTATGCGCGTTACGCTTAACCTTGCCATCACACAAATGGTAAACAGAACCAAAATCGAAAAAGAACATTTTGATCCTGATGCCTGCCCAAGCGATGAAATTATTGGAAATATTACGACACTCGTAGACAAATCAGTAAGTATCATAATCAGTAATTTATAATTATTTGTTATCAAGTTGAGAAATTTTGAGGATCTTTTAGAATAGTTTTTTTCTATTTGATGACCAACATGGATTTCTGACTTGGATGTATAACCAAGAAATCCATATTGATTGGATCGAAGGACCAAAATTAATAGTCCCTGTCTGGTCTCTACGCTGGGAGTGCTTTAATTATAGATATTATGATTTTCACTATAATATAATATAATATAATATTATTAACTACTCATGTACAAAACTTTAATAACATATTTACTAATTAAAGTAATGTTATGATAACGCTGAAGAAGGTTGGAAGGAGTCTATACTCTCGGTACACAAAATATAACGATTTTGGTAATCACCATGATTATAAATCTAAGTAACACGAGGGGGGATGTACAGCCTTACTTTAAGCCATGATAAATATCTATTTAGACATTGTAAACCACTGTGTATATATAGAACAATAACGACAAACACAATATAACACTAATATGTATTTAAGTTTTTAAGACGCTTTCTTAAATTATATCTTATTGGATGTTTTACTGTCCAGATGGGTTTAATATTGACAATATGTATTATCATATTCACAAAGTAAACGTAAAACAACAATTATTAGCTACGATGGTGAACGGAAATATTTTGAAATACATTTATTTACGGCATAAACCGCTGGAATTATTATAGTTGATAAAAACGGGATCTAAACAAAAGATATTGTTGCTATTTAGTTATTTTTAAGGCCAAAATTATCCGACTATATATAATGATGTTGGATTCGGTAAAAACCCATTAAATATTTAGATCTAAAGTTGTATAAAAATATGTATTTTATCGACTGTTATATTTGATTTACTATCTTGTTTCAGTAACCATTTGGTTAAATTATCTATTACATATATTAGTTATGTTAATGTCTAAACAAATTTATCTTTCATCATGTTGCATAAGGTAAAAGATATTTGCATAAATATGTTTGATTACTCTAATTAAACACAAATATGATGAAATCATCAGTACATTCAGTTATACTGAAAAATACTGACGATTTCAGTTAAATAATAAATAGTTATAGTTTCTTTAAATCTGATTAATGGTTTAAAGACATCCGGATCTGTTAGGACATGTTGGGGCCTCCTCTAGACCATTTTTGTCGGGAAGGGGTAATAATTGACGCTTTACGCACCAACGGGTTAGGATGATGTTTAGCCTTGTCGAAGTGGCGTGTGGACGCCAACTTTATCCGTGGCTGGCTATGGTAGGGAGATCCAGGTCGTGGTGGTGATCGACGTTCATCACGTAGAAGGGCGCATCTGGAGCGTCTGTAGCTGGTGGATATGGGAGGCGGCAGAATGCGCGAAGACTACACTAGCGTAGGTCATGCATGGACATGCATAGGATATGTCACCTTATATCTAAGGGACATGTGACTCGGAGGAAATAGAGGAGATAGAGGACTAAGGAGGCCTTCTTGCGAACGGTGGCTATATGCTTACCGAAGTACATGCCGCTATCGAGTTTGACTCCTAGATATTTAAAAGACTTTTGCCACGGAATTGCTTGCCCGTATTGGGCATTACCTTATATTACCTCTTTTTTGAGGCGATATTTTTTCCTAAGAGAACTGCGACGCTCTTCTCTGGATTTATTTGGATATATTGTTTACTACACGTATTCTATTTAAACGCTGAATGTTGGCACTTGTATTTAGTTCCAATTACGCCCATGAAGCCCTTCTTATGTTTGCCTTGGAAAATCGTTGCTATACTATTATGATAGCAATTATATTTTATATATTGATCATGATGTGTATTCCTTATACTTTTGTAAAACAATGTATATATATTTTCAGCATGCAATATTCGATTGGAATGAGGAAGTACAAGGATTTATATTAAGTGGGTTCTACTATGGATACGGTTTAACTCAGATTCTTGGAGGTTTTTTAGCAGAAAAGTATGAAGCTAAATGGACGCTCGGCATTGGTTTACTTACTACTGCGATATTTACATTCTTAACTCCACTAATTACAAGAATTGGGGGTTCTACATGGCTTTTTATATTGAGAGTCCTTCAAGGCATGGGGGAGGTAAGAATATATTCTAATATCAGTCAATATTATGTATGAAAAATTTAATTATATATGCATATACTAATACCATTGTGCAGTGTTGGCTTAGTGGCTTCAGCGTGCGACTCTCATCCCTGAGGTCGTAGATTCGATCCCCGGCTGTGCACCAATAGACTTATTTTCTATGTGCGCATTGAACATATGCTCGAACGGTGAAGGAAAACATCGTGAGGAAACCGAGATGTCTTAGACCCAAAAAGTCGACGGCGTGTGTCAGGCACTGGAGGCTGATGATCTACTTGCGTATTAGATTGAAAAAATGATCATGAAACAGATTCAGAAATCTGAGGCCCAGACCTAAATAGGTTGTAGCGCCACTGATTATTATTATTATTTATTATACTAATACCATAACAAATGAGCAGTAATCTAATTTTAACATTTTGCCTTCTGTAGGTATCTACGACATTAAATTTAATGCTTTTTAAGGGAAACCCAGGAACTTCGTATAAAATAAACAACCCGTATTAACGAATTACTTAGTTACCAAAGCCTAATTTTTTGTAGGCAATATTAATAGAGTATAAGTTTTTTAATGTGGAGTAAAATTAGTTAAAGCGCTTTTTTAATCCTTCACAAAGTAGTGAATAACATCTCTTATTAATAAAATTTCGTATTTTTTAATCCCCATTAAAGTTCTCGTTGCACAGGTAAATTTTGGTTGGAATAAGACTATTATTTATATTTTATAGGGGCCGACTGTACCAGCACTTATGATAATGATGTCAAGATGGACCCCACCAGATAAAAGAGCACTTCAAGGAGCCCTCATTTTCGGCGGTGCTCAATTGGGAAATATGTTTGGTTCTTTAATGGGCGGAACTATAATGGCTGGCGGACGGGATTGGGCTTACGTTTTCTATTTCTTCGGGGGATTCGGGGTAGTTTGGTTTATATTGTGGGTAAGTGTCACTAGAATCGCAAGCTGGTCAATATCGCGCCTCACTCGATAGATCAATGCTCAATGTGTGGACGAAAGCGCATGCCATGGGCTTTACTCGACAGTTAAGCTCGATCGAGTAATACCGTATGTGAGTACTGACCTTTAATCAATATTGAATACAAGATGTGGTATTATGAATGGATAATATTGTACATTGTCATTATTCAGTAAACTTGGTTTTGTGTTTAGTACCTACTCAAGGATTATTAGATATTCGACAATGTTGTGAAATATAATAAGCTCACTAGAGTGCCAAATTAATAAAAAAACATGCCCGTTTCATTGAGGTACCAAATGGTATGTCCACTATATTTGAATACAAGCAACATTTTTATACAGCATTTAATACAAAACAACATCGTACTGGTAATTTTCGATCATTAAAAGGTTTTTATGTTACCTGTTCATTACGCAATATTTATATGAAAGTACAATGGAATCTCGATTATTCGAACCTCGTTAAGTCGAAGCTTACTGAAAGTCGAAAAAAATTGCTATTCCCATCCACTGAATCCCTAAATACGCGGTATCTCGAATTATTTAGACTTTGTAACTCGAACATAATGTTATTTCCCTACGAAGTATTGATAATACATATTTATACCCTTTAACTCGAATTTCAAAAAGGAGACTGTAAGTCGTAGTTAGTAAAATATAATAACGTCTTACTTGGAATTAATAGCAATCTAATCCAAAATTAATGTTTTGGTTCGGGGTTTCTAATACGAGTATATTGTCTTGTACACGTGTAATGAATGATCATATATTCATACAATATATATTGTACTGCAAAACTTAAGTTTTAAGAATTGTTATTCAAATTCGAAAAAACCTAGAAATCGCGCCTCTGTAAGTCGAAATTTCAGCATGTATCTCGAAGTTCTTGTTAAGTCGAAAACTTGTTAACTCGAAGTTTTTACCGTTCCCTTGGCATTCGAGTTATCGAGATTCCATTGTATCCGGACACTGGTGCTGGTAGTAAAAAAGTGTAATGAAACATACAAACAACCAAAAATAAATAATTATTCATGTAGGTAACACGATGTACACTTATGAACGTCAAAAAAGAAATATACATTGAATGCTTCTAATTTTACATTTACTGCCAGTTCTTAAATCAAGGGCGTAGAACGAAATAGAAGAACCGGCAATAAACTCTCTGCCACTCTTTTTAATCGCCAAGTTTTTGTTTTACACAACGTTTGTACACCATGTTCCACGTGACATCTTAAGTATTAAATAATAATAACATTAATTACAAACAAAGACTTGTCCTCTATCAGCAGGAGGCATGGTGAAATAGGAGCACGTACTAACATTCTCGTGGGAACAACACGCAAATATCTTTTTAATCGTATTTATTTCGTGGTTAAAACTCATATGGTACTTTCGAACTCAGGTTTTACTCAGGATTTAGGTTATATACATAAAAATCGTATCCAAAAGCCCGGAAAATTATTGTAATTCATAAAATATATTGTTTTTTTTTTCATCAATACGCATAATTTATATCACCATACATTTTTAGAGTCTTCTTTGCTACAATGAACCAAATCAACATCCGTTTATTTCCTATGAAGAGTTAGACTATCTGAACAGAGTAGTGAAGCGCGCTAAAGTGACGTCATCCAGTGATCCAGTACCATGGAAGGCGATGCTCCGATCACCAGCTGCTTGGGCATTACTCTTTGCTGGAGTAAGGCTTTTATATTTATATCTAATATATGAAATTCTCGTGTCACACTGTTCGTTCCCATACTCCTGAAACGGCTCGACCGATTTACATGAAATTTTTATGCATATTCAGTAAGTCTGAGAATCGGCTACTATCTATATATCTTGTCAATTCCAAAAAAAAAAAAATTAGACAATTTTTTAATGATACAGCATACAAAAATATACAACCCCTAATATTCACCTCTCTACGAACAACCCCAATTTTTTATTATAGTAGATAGTTATTTTTATTGAACTAAAAAAATGTTTCCTTGAAATAATATACATGGCAAAACAACTTTTGCCGGGTCAGCTAGTCTTATTATAAAAAAGTTAGTTCAATGATTCAACTGAAAATTGTATCTCGGTTTTTAATTTGTATGTAATGTAATTATATGTTTACTGAAGACCAAATCACTTAATAATTTGAGTTTACAGATTGGCCACGATTGGGGTTTCTATACCATGGTCTCTGATCTTCCAAAGTATATGCACGATGTGCTGAAATTCAACATCGCTAAGACAGGCGCTTTAACCTGCCTACCATTTTTAGCTAAGTGGATTTGTGGGTTTATGTTTGGATTTACCTGTGATTACGGGATTAAAAAGGGTTGGCACAGCGTCCGAATGGGAAGAATTATTTATACTACTCTCGGTAATATAGTTTTATTTATTTATAGATTACTGTATGTTTTTTAATTATCCTTATTTATTTCCAACACACAAATATACATTATTTACAATATTCTAAACCGTCATCGAAATAATAAAAATAAAAAAAAACATGTGGCATTCGGGGACTGCCGCGGTAAAGCTATTGCATAGCATTTTTTATCAACTTATGCAATTATAATTATTTATTTATGCAGTATTTTTTTTCTTTGATATTATTTCAATCTACCACTCTTCCAGACTCAGACTAAAACGCCTATATAGTCTGTCTCACTCTAACGCGTACTGGCTGCACCGGTCGCGCTTACGCTACGTCACCGATCTCGTCAGAGTGTGGGGATGCGCAGTATGCGTTCTGTCCCTCTCTAACGCGTATTTGCCGCACCTATATTACGTCACTTAAAAATTGATAAATAAAAAATTTGAACAAATTTAAAAAGTTTGGTCCCTGTGGCGTGTACCTTTAACGCAGGCAGCATTTTCTCGCTGTATTGCGATACTTATTCTTTGAGCCAGAGTAAACTAGTTACTAGGCGCCAACTTAAATCTTATTAATATTAACTTAATTTTTATTAAAATTAAATGTATTTGACATAAATAAGATTGCGTTCACTATCTATAGTTAGTTTATTTGTTGTTTTAAACTGATTTTACTAGAAAGGTAACATAGACTTGTAGAGAACACTGTAGAACTAGTAGCGACTCACAACTATGAAGTCGTCCCTTAAGCGGGCCATAGATGGACCGCATGTTGCAGTCAAGACCGACTGCAATATGCGGTCGCCGCACGGCGATCTGCAGTTTTCATACTAAATTCATATTCGGAATACACGGACCGCTTGAGCAGTTCCTGAGCATACCGCATATTGCAGTCGGTCTTGACTGCAACATGCGGTCCGTCTATAGCCCGCTTAAGTCGCATCGAATCGTCGTCGAATCGCGGCTATGAACCAATGAAAACTCGAGAGAGGACATTTTAGTTCCAAAAATTTACATGTGTCACATACATATTTACATTTTTCAGGATCCGTGTTGCCAGCAACTTGCATAATATTAGCGTCCTATTCGGGATGCAATCGTACGGTTGCGTTAGGATGTTTCGTTTTAGCTATGGGCTTTATGGGAGCTTATGTTAGTGGAATGAAAGTAGGTACAATGTTTTTTTTACTCACAACTAAATTTCCTAGTTTGCTTTTATAGTACATACAAAATTTACTCCTAAAAGTACTAGTTACTCTACTCTTATTTACACTATAAAGTTATTTTATTGGCGCCTCGTCGTGTCTTACGGTATATTAGCAATCAGGTAGTTTGTCTTTGAACATACCCGGTGGTGGACGCACAGGCTGCTCTTCATATTCTTGGGGCAATTCTTCGCTCTTTGACCGACTTAGTAGGGTCCTTCAAGAAAAGAGCGTACCAATTCTTAATAAGCCGGCCGTGCACTTGCGAGCCCTCTGGCATTGAGAGTGTCCATGGGCGGCGGTATCACTTAACATCAGGTGAGTCTCCTGCCCGTTTGCCTACTATAACATGAAAAAAATACACAATACTTATTCGGGGCTCGCCCACCAGCACAAGACTTCTTTGAGACAGGTTTCGATGTATGAAGTAAAGCTTACAATACTAACAGCTTAGTTTAAGATTATATAATTGATGTAAAAAAAATTACAGGTAAATACACTGGATGTAGCGCCGAATCACGCTGGCTCCGTGACATCCTTCATTAATACAATTACAACTTTGGCTGGCATAATTTCACCCTACCTCATCGGATTAATGACACCTGATGTAAGATTATATTTCATTCCTAGATTCCTGTGGTATTTACTGTGGTAACCGATTTTCTATGTAACCATGGTATCTAAGATGGTATTAGTAAGGGGCCGTTCAAGTATAACGTAAGCAGATTTACTGCAATTTACCCTAACTTGTCAGCAAAAATAAGCAAAGCTCTCAAAGATAATAGCAAATAAACGTATGAATTTTTTCTAGGAATCCTCGAAACTCCACTTCATTTTCAAGCATAGACAATGTGTGGGTAATATGTGTAATTAAAAATAAATAATTACTGTTGACGTAAGATCACCAAATTAGAAAAGCAAAGCCCCCCCCGCCCCTATAGTGCTTTTAAATAATTTCTGGAACTACTAAAGTTACTTTCAGAATTCACTAGTAAAAAACTAGTTACTGATATATAAATTATTGGTATACATTTTTATTGTGAATAATAAAAGTTTATAACACCGTTGAATTTTCGCAGTGTTAAACAATTTAATTTCCTGTTTCGATTCGATATATGGCAATATTTTTGCAGTCTACTTTGGTGCAATGGAGGAGAGCATTTTGGATATGTTTCGCGATAATGGTGGGGAGCAATGTTCTCTATGGCTTCTTGGCAGATGGCAAGCAGCAATGGTGGGATGATGTTAGGCAGTTCGGTTACCCCCCAAACTGGAAACATGGACCCATAATAAAGGAAGTTCCAGTTGAACCAGAGTCAATCAAACTCTGTAAAAAGGACGAAGAAGAAACGGAAAAATAACTTCAATATAATTTATTTTAAACTAAAAAACAGCATTAAACTCATACCCAAGCAGTATACTTTTCGAAACGTAAATCAATCTCAATCTATAAAAGCAGTCAAAAGTGTAGTGTCTAGCTACTCCATGGGCACAATATTGATACCGAGATACGTTTTCCAAACATTTAACTTGGTTTGGCTTATAAAAAATAGTTGTTAATAAAAAAGTAAACCATTTAGTATAGGTACTTTATTAATATGTTCCGTAAATCCATATCTTTTAAAGATTTAATTATAAGAGTCTGTTTCACAATGTATGGATAAAGTACCAAATAGCTATGCAACACATAAATTATTTGGAAGATAAATTGTGCTATTTGACATTCTTCGGACTCATAACTTATGATGGACTTTATGTGACGAATAGCGCTATCGGACAGTCGTGAAACGCAACAATAGTGTTTATCCTACCAATAAATAGCTAATTTGGAACTTATGTAGAACTTATCCGTACATTGTGAAACAGACCCTAAATATTTTATCTAAAAGTTCCTGATCTGTATGCCTTTACAAAATAAATATTTAATAACAAAACACAAAACTCTTACGACCGGGTTGTACATCCTTACGACTTACGCGTCGGAAAGATGTGAATCTGAATGAATGGAAACAAAATATTTTAGAGTTATCTTAAAGAGCTTGCTTAAAAGAATTCCGCCTAATATTCTACTGTTATTAATTATGAAGCCGGCGGAATAACATAAAACAAAAGACGACATGATGGCGCGTCGAATATTTCACTTGTGACCAAAAACAATAAAACGAAGCGCACCCTTTTCGACTTTAATTTTTGCCCACCTCCTGCATTATTCATGTTATAAATAAAACACATTGTAAGTGAGAGTAAATATATTTAAAAACATCAACATTAATCATCTTCCATTTTTGCATTCTGAATATTTGAATGATGTACCATACGTTTCCGTGCATTGCGTACTTCCTTTGTTATATCTCGTACTTGATCCTCTAATTGGACTTTTTTCTCGCGTAGACTTACGACCTGCAGTAAAAGACTTGCTATGTAAACGGTTTTTATTGTATTACGATGGCTTGTGATTCTGTTGTGAATATTAAATTCTTTTAATGCAGTTTTTTAGATTTACACGAGTACTAGATATTTAAATAAAAGTAATATTTTTTGTACATTATTTACCCAACTTTATGATTTGGATACTTACAGCAGTTTTATTATAATATATATATAATAATAATGAATATATTTTCTACATATTTTGACCAGCAGTTAGGGCTAGGAAAATTATACATAAACTTTTTTTAAACCCCTTAAGCAAAGAAATTGGTACCTAGTTAACCCACTGAGAAAAGATTTAAGTACTTAGAAAATTATGAGATTGCCTAGAGGCAACAATCGATAAAATTGTAATAAAAGTAAAATGTTCATGAAAGATTGAAACTTTTTCATTGCATGGCACAGCCCGTTTCGTTCAGTTTCTAGGGTACAATGATAATTACATTTGCAAGTTTTATGATGGATATACCTCGTCGGTGGCGTCTTGGTAGTCACGCAAAAGGTCCTTTCTTGTAAGAAGGCCCGCCCTCAGTCGCTCACCTTGCAACGACCAGCGTAGTTTGTCGCGACGGCTCTATGAGTAAGTATTATTTAAAGCAGTTGAATTGGTGGTAAGTACTAAGGCAAACTAATACAATATTGTAGGTTTTATATACTTAAAAATGCTTAAAGAACAGTTAGGATAATTGTGTAATGTTTTTAAATTTTAATTGAAATTTTCCCCCGACATTTCGCGTGCTTAAAATGCTTAAATTTCATTCTCAAGAATCGTTTTAGTCTAGAAAACATTTATTTTATACGGTAAAGTTACTAAGGCATATTTTCTGTAAAGCCTATTTAAACATGTCAATAAATCTAAATAGCCTATTCTTTACATTAATTTCAACATTTATACTATAAAGTATTTCTTGATTCGTTTACATTTAACATAAACTAAGAAAAAATATGAAAAACTAAACTAAATAAGTGACAATACAGTTTATTAGTTTTGCTTAAAAATAGCACAAAATGTTTTGAAATGTTTTGAAGATATAACATTCTTAAGACTGTATCCCTTATGATTAGAACAAATATTTGTATGACAGAATAACAAAAATCGATTTTGATTTGAAGCAATAAAAAATTGAATTATTGTTGTTGGGAAAATCAGAGTCTACGTATTTAGATAAATTTATATTATTTCTAAAGATGATAAGAGCTATATGCATTAAGCTATGATAAGAGGGAATAAAATATACTTGACAAAACTTCAAAGTCCGCACAATGTCTGACTTTAATTTATTTTATAGAGAAAATCACGCAAAACATTTGCATACTAAACATTGCCCGTGTTCTTTTACAGTTTTTATTATGAGAGTCGCACACTGAAGCCACTATGTCAACCCGGTTTGGGTTTATGTATTTAAAATGTATGTTAAATATAGCTCAAACCTTAACTTGTCCTAAATCCTCTCGAGCTCGTAAAAATTCAATCTCAGCATCTCCAAGATCGCATTCAGCAAAGTCGATAACTTCGTCTGTGTGATGCATCTTTTCCCTAATGTGAGCCAGTATTTGATTATGTTCAGTGCATTTTGAGCGATTTTTTATCAATTCGTCTTCTCGCTCTGCAACGAATTTCATATTTTGCAACGTCAAGGGAAAAGAAAATTGTGATAACTATTGATAAATGTTTTATTCTTATTTTATGAATGCAATGGTAATGTTCTGATAAAATATCAGCATTCCGGGACACCATTTTGCTATTGCATAGACAAATATTTCAATGTTGTGCACCTAAACTACTAATAATCTGTTCCACTCTTTTTGTTGTGCTTACAATATAAACGTATGATTTAATAATGTTCGTATAACAATTATAATAATGTTTTGTTCCATTAGCATTATTTTCGTTTCAGTGCATTAATTTAATCCGATTACAGATTCGTGGTTTTAACAGAATTTTAGCTGCGTTATTGACGGTTAATGTTTATATTTTGTTCGGTTAATGGCCTTTAGATTGTGTTGTTAAATATAATGCGGTTAGTCCCAAACATTAGTTTTAACATATAGTTAAATAGATAAAAAGTTTGTCTAACAAAAATCTCAGTATTCACTATTTTCATAGCATAGCATGTTTTTTTAATTTCATAATAAATTGTATCACACAATTTCTAACTGGTTGCAAACAGCTTAAAATTAATTATTTTCTGTATGGGGAAAGCAATACAGATAATAAAAGAAAATACGCGTCAAATTAAAAACCTCCGTAAATTTTTTAAAGTCGTTTATACAAAATTATTCTATCTATCCTAACAGATCTAACCTATCTAAGACCGTACTATGTGTGTTTTCATTCTTCGTCACTTAAAATAAGATGTAAAAATAGAACTGGTGAGCAAATTACAAATTTCATTATAATCTGCGCTAACCTGAAATTCAACCCTACAGGCGCCATCTCCAGTCGACATCTTACCTACCTATCTGCACAGTGCACAAAGCCCTCAAAGAGAATAGACTTGCACTCTCGTTTCAGATGGACCAAAAGTTTAAATATATTTAACGTAAGCATACAAATGTATAATTCTAGTTACTCTTAATTACCTTCTATTTTTGTTGAATAGTTCTGATTGTCGATATGCAATTGTTCGTATTGCGCCACATATAATCCGGGTCCAAGACATTCCAATTTGTGCACGATCACCTCCAGTTCAGCTACGGCGTTCCTGCATCTGATATACCGCAGACAAAGAGCTGAAGCTTGCTCGCTTTTACGTCTTTGTAAAGTTAAAAATCTTTCCACAGTCTGAAATAATAAACGTGTAATAGGGAAATGTATTTTATGCTAGCCTAAGGTAACATATGTGTTGACCAAATAAGATAAAAGATTTATTATAAAATTTCATTCCTTTCACTTCGCCTCTTGGTGTTTCACAACCTCTTTTGTGGAACCAGTTGCTAGCGGAAGTTTTTCCAAACTGTTACGACTTTAGGGCCTTCACGAACGTACCATTCCCTCAATGATAACACCCGCAAGGCCCATTGCGTTGAGTGTGTGTCCATGATCGGCGGTTAGCACTTTATATATGAGCGTAAGAAAAAGTTTTTTTAAATTGACGACTCAATCTAGTACAATTCAGACCCTTAAATCATTTTAATGATTTTTCATACCAAGATAGAAGTTCAATATAAGAATTAAATAATTGTTTAATTGTATAATTGTTAAATGCTGGGGCCATTAAACGTAAATATAAGAGAGGAGTAGAATTTACGTAGTCCCTAAATCATAAAACCAGCGAAAAATAGCTACACTAGGATATATATAATAAGTTTAAAAAAAAATTGAAAACGCATTTTAAAATTAACACTTATATATAGGTACCTTGTCAGCAATAGGTTTGCCTTTCTTCGAATATATCAAGCCAGTACCAGTTGATTTTTCCAATTGTTGGAGATTATTGAAATTCTTTTCAGCGTGCTCCAATTTATCTTCATATGTAAATTGTACTGCTTCTAGTTTTCTCCTTATCTGAAAAGTAAACAATGCATTTATTGTTGGAAATGTAAACTCTTTGAGAGATGGTTGGTTTTACTAGACAAGAAAAAAAAGGCATAAATGCCCCTCTTATTACTATTTTCGTCATTATTATATCAATTTGGGATAACTCAATGACAAATGTATCAACGTTATGTGGTATTTGTCAAATAACTAGCTTTAATAAATTTTAGGTTTAAAGACATTTATTTTCTCATTACAGACAATGGTCACTTACATGAGATTTATAGACTAAAAATACAATTTATCACGTCGTGTTTAAGCGTCAAGGATCAATCATCGAAGTATAATTTGGGTGGACTGTCATTTGCGTAGGTAATTAGGATCACTCAGAAGATGGTCTTTTAGTTTAAGTTTAAATATCGCCAGGCTGTCTGCACTTTTTATATTTTGTGG